GGGAATCAATGGAACTGTAAAAGCTATCTTTTCGCAAGACAGGAGTGGAAGAAAAAAACATTGCTATTATTATGTTAATAATAAGGAGTACTGTTGACACTAGCACAAGGAAAAATATGACTTTAATATTTCAAAGCAGTATGCCGTAGTGGTGAATAAAAATGAGCGCGTGTGCGTCCAGGAATTACATGCAACTACTTTTGGTCGAATCAGCTAAAACAAAGGGAACCTAGTTCGTCCGAATTTTCACTTGGTTTTTGGACTGTTTGAAAAAAATGACCTGCGTCCTGCAGATAGATTTGCCAAAGACCAGTGAGGTTGAGAAGAACTACATTAGAAAGTCAAGTTGATGTGCCGAACCGATGGATGATGATCTCACCTGGGTTCACGCGAGAGTAAACAAAACTAACAGCCTGCTTCCCGTCCTCGTTCCTCTTCCACTTGAAAATAAACAATAGAACTTAAGAAGACTTGGCTCCCACCATCAAAAATTCTTCCAAATATGACTAAGGCACAACTGTGATACTAAAATTTGAGAAAGCGGTCTCAAAAAATCCTGTTGCCTGGGCTTTTTGGTAAATCATTGAGGAGATCCCGTTTTGCTCAAATAATAGCGTAACAAACGAAGCCAGCATAAAAAATCGGAAATATGTTTCCACTGTTCTCTCCAAAGACCAGCGAGTTTACTGAACCGAAACATTGAAAAAGGAGCGTAATTAGTGATGCAGAGTACCTAGCCGCATTCAATTTTCATGGATAATGTTTTCAGTTAGCCTACAGAGACAAGCTCCACACGAAGCGCACTTGTGAACGCTTGCTGTTTTCGGCCTTTGGAACAGCCAATCACAGGCCAACTCATACAGGACTTCACGTGTCGACTACCGAGCATACGGGACTTCAGACGCCGTCCGCTGGTCTGCGGTCGCCCATTTTTTACTGCCTATTTTCCATTCCATTTGTACAGAATATACTGCCCCTACCAGTCTGATCTTCCCATGACTTCCCTTCTCCTAAGAAAACGGGCTTGAAGATCGCAGTTGCCAGGGTTTAACTTACTTAACCCCCTGCGATAAGCCCTGTCAGTAAGCAAGTACTGCGCTTGCGATCCAAGCAACTCTACTGAAATATCTTTGCACACGCAAGAATAGATTAAATGGCTAGAACTGCCTCTTTTTGACTGCTCGTGCATTGGCTGAAATTAATGTACCTAGCCGCTTTCGCAGGTAATTTTGCGTCTCTCGGCTTAGGGTGATGCCGGGTAGCTCCTTTAGCAGCTCCTGCAAGAGGCCCTCATCAGTACATCGCCTCGTACGGCGGGGTTGGGGGTCTGACCAGCGGAAGGAGATCGGCGCTCCGACGTGTGAGAGTGGTATCTCAACGGGCTTGAGGATGGAGCGAGATGTAGGTGGTGCGGATAGTCTGCGCGGCGGGGGAACCGGGATGGGAGCAGCAGGACGTGTAGATGGCTGGGTCGCTGATTCCTGCAATCGAAAGTTTGTAATTGTTCATAGCGATGACATAAGTGCAAAGGACAAACAAAATTCTGGAAGTGGGGCTACCCTGGTCTGATTGCCGGACAGTAAACGCCCTTGGAGGGGAAATTGGTGTTAGGCTATAGTCCTCGCAGATGAAGACATAGTAAAAGGGATACCAACAAAGATAACGGAGGCTGAAGTAGCTATTTGTGGGCTTATACACATCTTCAGTCAAGAGGCATCATTATCTTTATTTACCAACACCAATGTGCATGGTTGTTCGACGGTTCAACAGGCTATAAGTCGTAATGATTATATTATCAGGCGTTGGACATAACAACTGTTGCAGCTTTCAGGAAAAATATTTCTAGTTATATCAAACAGCAATAGATAAGGCGCTATTATCATTACATTATAACAGTATTAAAAGTAGTTAAAACAACACATTACATGGAAATACATCATAACAATACTGTTGGAAATGGAAAAAAATGACCGGAAGTCTGATGAAGAAATCTGAAAGAGACTGTCTACTACCTAAATTACAAAATATAACTCGACTCATTTCAACAAATCCACATATACGACGGCATTCAGGCTTTGAGCAGACTGAATATGCTGTTTTGGGAGACGCGGTGAAACTGATAAGCATTAAACGGTTTCAAGGATATCAACATTTTGTACTTTAAAAGAACGGAAAGCAGTCCATCGTCCATCTGTATACTTAATAAAAGTGATGACTGTCTCTGTGTGCATCTCCGTTATCATTGGTTGCAGGGGTCAGATTGAAACGCTTTCTGCGCCTTCGACGCGCGTGTGTGTTAGTACCACGCTCACTTTGTAGGCGCGCGCGGGCGCACTG